TCATTTCTTCTTTGTTTCTTATTCACTAAAAAGAACCTGGACTATATGATTTCCTGACCTTTCTTGAAGTAAGGCTTTCTCTAAGAACAGCTTAACAAGTTTTAGTTCTTCCTTGAATGTGAAGGCCTGGTTTCGACAACATTCCCTTTGCCAAGCATGCCTTTTGGGGGTAATCAAATACACAAGGAGCTGTGGTGACCAAGTAGCTTTGACTCAGAATCTGAAAGGGTCTTCAAATAATAGCCTTATGGTTCTGATCCTATGAAATGGGAGGGGCACAATTATAGGAGTTTTCAGAAAGATGAGAAATCCAGTGAGAGGAATTTTTAAAAACCTTAATTTTGTTCATTCTGTGAAAAGCTGAAGAATGATTAAGACTCACCTTTCTTTTGGCCACGACAGGGCTTGCTAGAAAGAGCATTGGTTTATATACTAAAACCAACCTCTCTAAAAGATTGAGGCATTCTTACTCTCAAAGGAGAAGACACTCCATCATCAGGAGCTAGAATAATTCATCTTATTTCTTACCATTATTGTCTGTTAGTAGTAATTTTCAAACGGAAATCTACTGATTATTATTATTATTTTTTTCTTTTTCCTGGGATGGGCCTTCCTGTCTAGCAATGTGGTTGTTTCCAAGTAATAATTACATAATTGTTACGGAAATCCCCTTTTAGAAGCATTAAGAAAATTGTGCAACATTACTCGTTGGATCTTTTAATAAATACTTACGCCACAGCAAGAAGAAATGATGTGAAACTTTTTCTGTGGCCTTGTTGCCAGAGAGGAATGAAAGCAGTGCTGTAGTAGCCTGCTGTTCCACACGGTAAACGGTAATCGTTGCCTCTGCTGTTCATCATGGGTTGATTTCTGCTTGACAACAGAACTCTTCACAGGATAAATGCACTGTTTTGTTCATTCAAAACGTCACAATCTGAAAAATGTTATGAATATAATTTCCTCTCCTTTCCCCTTTTATCTAATCCAAATTCCACATCAAAAGTGAGAAAAATAACCCATCGACTTTGAAAGAGGTTCACAAACGTGAAAACTGGTGAATAAAAAATGAGTTATGAAATTTTTTTTTTTTGTGGTTGAGGTAATTTATCTTCATGACTGTCATTCTGACCAAACTGATAAAAAGTCTCTAGAATACTAAAGACCACGGGCAAGTTTCTGAAAGGAGCTCCTATTCTTTCCTCATTTTATTTAATAATTATTCCATTGTTTAAAAAAATGGGGAAGAGGTTTTTTGGGGGGGGCATTGTATCAAGAGTTCTTTTTACAGGGTGAGCGGCATTTCCATTAAAACAGGAAAATGTTTATATTGTGTCTACGAAATTTGAGTCAATATGTGCTCAAGTCCTTAATTTAAATGCACGTAAGGGGTAAAGAACGTCCCAGCAAGCTGCACGTCTTCTCCACAGCGTCTGCCTTATAAATGCTGACATCTACACTGGACAGTCAGAGGTATAAGTTTCCTGGTTGTCTCCAAAAGACACAATTTTGAGCCATTTCCACTGTATTTTACTTGGGGAAGAGTTTTGAAGCTGATAAAGCATTAGAAGTTTGCCAGAGGAGACAGTTATAAACTCCTTCCCGAATGAGCACCAGTGCACACAGACTCGGTGATCTCAGCCGTGTCCCACGCCTTTGCTCAACGTCCAGTTCGTATGTCCAGCCACCTTGGTTAGCAGGACTTCCTAGAAATCCCATAGGGATTTAACTCTAAATCTTCCTCCCTACACCCCTCCCCCCATTTATTTCCCATCTGCTGTCCTGCTGCAGCAGGACAGAAAGCTGGCGTTCATCCTGCATACGTCTCTCTCTGTCACTACCTTCACTCCTGCTCTGTGCCACCTGCTCGTGTTGTGACAATCTTCTGACCTCTCTGACACACCCTCTTATTCTCCTTTATCAATCAGTCCTCTGACTGATTTTCCCTTGCTCAACCTGGCATGATTTTTCCTTTCCTTTCTCCAGTTTGTCCTTTAACACCATTACCACAGATTTTTCTACACAAAAATGCCCTGGTCAGTGTCATATTTAAAATATTTAAGTGGATCCTCTTTGGTGTAAAATTCCTTCCTCCACTCTTCCTCCTTCTCTCCTAAACATGAACACATGCTTCCGAAGTTTCCTGGAAAGGACGGTTCTCTCTCTCTATTACTGCACAGACTGTTTTTGCTGGAAATGCACTTCCCAGCCCTGTGTGATTGGTCATTTCCTTCTTGTTCAAGGCTGAGCTTACATGTGACCTCCCCTGACACTTCTGTCTCCACCTTTCTGAGTAATGTGTCCCTCCTGTTTTTGTTGCCTAAACATCTAGGACCTGGCTCTGATGCAACCCCAAAAGGCGGAGTGATACTCTACCCGAAAGACTACTGATTGCCCTTGGAGTCAAACAGACCTGGACTGGAATTATCAGTACTCTGAATAAAGCCCAGAAATATGCCTGAGTCTTGATAAACATCACTTTAAAAAAAATCTGTAATGAATAATATAGAAGATACTTGTTACATTACAAGTTTAAGTGAATGTAAATCCACATAATTTTTAAGTAAAGTGAAATAAATATGACAAAAAGATTGTAGCCAGGTTTGGTAAATGTAGTTGGGTTTCTTGCATAATTGTAGGTGCATCATGTTCCCTTTGGGATTCTCACAGGCAGGGACAAAGCTGGCCCACAGCAGTGCCAGTATGTCAGTATTTGACATTATTTCCCTCTCTAAAATATACTCTGCTGTCTTGGATTTGTTGACACAATTCTCATCTGTGCATCTCCTATCATCCCAGCTGCCCATTTTCAGTGTATTTTGTAGGTGTTCCTCATATACCTAGAAGATGGTTGAATTCACCAGGTCCTTTCTTGATGTCTCTTGTGTTACTCTGTCGTGTGTGTGTGTGTGTGTGTGTGTGTGTGTGTGTGTGTGTTGTACGTTGCTCAGGATCAACCTGGAGCCTCATGGTGCTGTACAAATGTGCCCACTAAGACAACCTCAGGCCCCTTATGTCTCTTTATTATATAATTCCTCAAAGCATAATGGGTGGACAGCAAGAGAATCACCTGCCTTCCCCTGGCCAGAGGGGTGGCACAGTCCTTTTCTAGGGAGATGAGTCTTCATTTATAGTAAGTTCTTCAAGTGACTCTTGGGCACACTGCATTTGAAAACTGTGACTTTAGAAAGTTTGTCTCCTACTGTGGTTTCAAATACTATCTACTTGCTAAAGATGTCAGATTTAGGTCTCCATCCCAAACCTCACTCTTGGACTCCCACCCACGTAGCAGCCCCTTCGACATTCCCTTTAGAAGTTTCTCAGGTCTATTTGCAGAGGAATACAAATACAGTAAGCTTTTTGTATTCCTTTGCAAAGTGTTCTTAGTTTAAAGGAAGCCATTCTGCTTATCCAAGTTGTCTAACCCAGAGTCAGCTTTCTCCCCCCTCCTCACTTCCTCTACCTAACACCAGAGTGCATATCCTAGCTCTTGAATTTTCCTAATTCTCTCTAACCACACCACTGTATTGTGTAGCCTAAGCCACAGTTACCTCTTGTCTGACTTTCTGAAATAGGCTTCTAACTGATCTTCTGCTACCTACTATACATCAATACAGGCTCTAACTTCCAGTGTTCAAAGACCCTGCTGGTCCTGGGTTAGCCTTGGTTCCCTTTTCTGTGGCATAGGATAAAACAGTGCCTCCTTCAAAGGGTTTTAGGAAGGGTGACACATGGTAATTCAGGTACAATAGTTTGTCATTTGTGGGCCACCTGGGAAGGAAGCTTACGAGAAGTTGTTATGCTCATGGTTGACCTTTCTTCAGCATACTGGTCACCCCCAAAAGAGTGATCCTTAAAAAGTCACGTTCCTGCTAAAACACTTCACAGCTTTTGATGTCTTTAAAGTATGGCTTTCATCACCCTCACTGTCTGTATTCACAGTTGAAAGTCCCACTGCCATCTTTTGTGGCTGTTCCTGTGGATTTCTTCCCTTGATAACTCTTTATTTCTTGCATTCCTTGACTGCACTATCCCCTCTTCTGTACCCACTTAATGACCATTTCAAGTTCTTTCCTGTCTGATGACATATGTTCCTCCCCACCTCCCCAGTGTATCCATAAGCCCTGCTTTAGAATCCATTGATTTTTTTTTTTTTTTTTTTTGTAAATTCTATGAGTTTCAGGAAAAAATTTCTTGAAAGTGGACTCCTTTTGGATTTAGCTTTTCATTTTATACTATTAACTACAGTTGTAATTTCATTCTTTGGCCATTAATCCTACTCCACTTTGATTCTGGGGAATGTGTATTTTGTCTTCACAACTGCATTCCTTTAGGGCCTGGCTTATTTATAGAAGATACTAGAAACTCATTGAGTCAATATGACAATCGAAATATTGCTCATTTTCCATTTCTACTTTGTATATTTCTGTTAAATGTTTTTAAAAATGTATTTAGTACATGGTCTACCGGTTCTCACTACAGATCGGATTCATCGTGATTCTCCTGTTTGCAGCCTCCCAAGCACTGGGATTACAGATGTGTGCCTCCATGCCCAGTCACATTCACTGTGTCAGTGTGCCCTGGGGGTGAGGCCTGCATGGCAGGTTGGGGATCTAATCCTCGGCCCCTGCATCTGCCTAAGCAGGCATTTTGATCTGCTGAGCTATCTGGTGGATCCTTTCCTTTAATCTTTTGATTTCATTTTGGTTATTAGATGTGTAGTAATATTAAATAAAAGAGCTGAACAATATCTTAAAAGGACTGAGATTTCTCTCAGGTAAATTTTTCTCTCTGTAAAATTTTAATTGAAAAATAAAAATAAGTTTCCAGAAATGATACATTTGAAGGTATCAGGTGTTTGAGTCATGTTTTTATTGTGAAAAGAATCTTTAACACATTTTCCCCTTTCTTTCTTCTCCCTCCCTCCCATACTAGCGATTGGATTGAACTCAGGGCCTTCACACTGAACTACAACCTAACCCTATGTATTTTTTTTTTCCTTCATAGCTCTTTTTAAAGAGGATACTTATAGTTTACAGGATACCCTGATGGAAAGGCAAGGGCAGAGGGTAAGAGACTGTTGTACATTTTTAGTCCATTAGTCTTTGGCAAGCCCCACCAAGGCCAAATTCACCGGGGACACCCAAAGGCAGTTGGGGTCAAGTATGCAAACCCAAATAAACATACTGGATTAAGAAAAAAGAAATCTAGAAACCCTTGAAGAAAGGGCTTCACCCTGAAAATTGGAAAATGCCTGGAGAGGAGAATGGACAGTCAGTGTAGTGATCTCTGCTGCTGTGGGCCTGGGCTGGGGCTTAAGAGTTGAGCCAAGGATGCCGGAGACACTCGGCATCAGTGGCTCTCTTCTCGGGGATGAGCTCCAACATGGGCAGTAAGAAGTCTGTGAAGCCAGCCGCCTCTTCCTGAGACCACTCATACTTCTCCACCAGAACCTCAAAAAGGCCCCAGGGTTTCAGCTTCATGATATGTTTCAGGTCACCTTTTTTGGTGAAAAATTCCTTGGAATATTTTCCTGCCACAATGAGCTTGCGAGGCACCTTTCCCAGAAGTTCTATGATCAACGCAATGTGATCTTCATCTTGGGTGTACTCTTCTCCAGAATGAGGCTCAAATAAATAATCACCAGTAGCCAATTCAAAGGCCATGCATGCCGTGCTCCAGATGTCAGCTGGGGTATTATAGCCAGATCCTATCAGAACTTCCAGGGAGCAATACTGCCTTGTTTGAATATCTTCAGTGAAGTGTTTGTGCACCCAACAGGCATTTCCAAGATCAGCAATCTTCACTTTGAGCTTTTCTGCATTTTTTGGCTCAAGGGAATTAACAAGAAAATTTCCAGCAGTGGATTTTCCTTTGTTGTCCAGGGGCCCATTCTGTCCTTCCTCGTGCTCCTCTTCACAAGGGATCTCTGCCCGGATGCTTTCTTGAAGTTGGCTGATGTGCTGCTCATGGAATGACTGGTCTCCAGTTGCGGAGGACTGGCACACCATAGTATCTGACACCTCCGGTGGTGCAGGTGTGCAAGAGTCTGTTTCTTGAGATGTGCTGTCTCCATTTTGGGAGCTTAGGAAACTAGGTTCCTGCTTCAAATTTTGGACATCACAGTCATTAGCATTATGGAGATCCTCTGCAAGCCTCATTGTTTCTTTATTACTGTTCTCAGTATAATTACTGACTTCAATTACTCCATTGCAATTAATTTCTGCTGCACCACCCTCTACACCACGCTCCATAAGTGTCTGATCCTGGCCAATGGAACTTGACTCTTCAAGTTTCTCTTGGGTCATTTTATTAGGTGGGTTCTCTTTCAAGGGTCTTTCAACAGGACTCTCTGATTCTTCTTGCTTGTTAGGTCTTTTTTGCCCAGGGCCCGACTCTTTCTCCATTTCCTCAATTTCCTGCATTCGCTTCTCTAGTAATTCTGCCTGGCGCTTCTGCTTCTTCTTCAATTTCTTCTTCTTATTCTTTGACATTTTGTCAGCTGGCTTAGGCTGGGGAGCAGTACTGACTGCAGACCCGGAAGGTGGAGGGGCTCCGGATCGCTGCCATTCTGTGGCTTCTGCTGCCAGTCTCCGGATGTACTGCTCGTTCACCGACAACAAGATGTTTTCCGGTTTAATGTCAGTGTGGATGATACGGCAGTTGGTGTGTAAATAGTCCAGGCCCTGTAACACTTGCTGGATAATTTTTTTGACACAAGGCAGCGGAAGCCCTTGATAGTTGGACTTGATGATCCACTTGAGCAGGTAATGCCCCAGAACTTCAAACACCATGCAGATATGTGTTCCATTAACTCCTGATATTTTAAAGTCATCTAGTAGTTGAACGACCATTTCTCTGTTTGGATCACTGGGGTCTGAATTGCGGACTGATTTCAGCAACCGGATTTCATCTAGTGCTGTTTCAGTATAGTGTTCAGCACTTTTAACTACTTTCATTGCCACATATTTCTTTCCCTGAATATCCCATGATAGCCACACTGTTGAAAAGTGCCCCCAGCCCAACTTTCAGATCACATGGTATCTGCCATTGAACAGATCACCAATTTTTACAAGATGATAACCTCCTTTACAGTAATCATTGGGATCTTCCTGCTCATCATCATCAGAGCCCAGAATCTCCTCTTCCTGCTCTGGCAGATCACTCTCAGAATGGGGGGCAGAGCCTCGGTGCTGAGTTTCATTTTTCCTTTGGGCTTTGTCCTTCTTGGCCTTGGTCCTTTTCTTTCGGGCCTGGAGCGCAAGCACTTTCCGCTCCATGGCGAGACCGGTAACCGCTAACCCTATGTATTTTGAGACAAAGTCTCATCAAGTTGTTACATTGCCCAGGTGGACTTGAGCTGGAGATCATCCTTCCATGCCCTCCTGGAATGCTGGGACTATAATGTGGCCACCATCTTGGCTGACATTCTCTTCTGTATTTGCAGCACACTGTCAAGTTACCTACAGCCAACCCTTTATTATTTTGTTGCACTTTTCATCACTTCTCTTAGCTACTTTTCTCATTGCTGAGACAAAATACCTAACACCCAAAGTT